TTGTAATTCTTTAGTTTTGAATAATTCATTATATGCATCTAAATCAAAATCTTCATCTATTGCCGAATGAAATTTATGTTGATTTTGATCTTCTTGTTCTTGTTCTTCATCAATTATTTCTGAAACACATCGATCTGTTTCATTTGTTTGTGATAATAAATATCTTTTATACCATATATCACTTAAAAGTTTTAAATCACGTAAAAATTTCATATCATGATTATTAAAATCGACTAGAAATAGAAGTTTTTTGTTTTTTTTACTAAATAAATTAATCCTATTTATTATATTTACATTCTAATTTTAATGCTTTGAGTGCATTGAATGTATTTATTGGATGTAGATGTATATAGTTTTTTAATTATTGTCATCATATCAATGATACGTTTGAGACGGTCAAGTTTAAGAACATGATTAAGTAATTGAGAAAGATCAGTTGCTGTTGTACATAATTGTTTTTCTAAATTATTTTGTACATGATGTTTTTTTTACTAAGGCATTTTCTTGTGATTTAGAAATTTCCATAAATTTATTTATCTAAATAAGAAATGATTATAAGACTTCGTTGAAATATTTCTTGGTTTATGAATTCCAATCATAAACACTAGACAATTTACAGAGACTAGATGCATATACTTTCTTCTAATAAGCCTGATACTTTTTTATTATTCTGTAAATATGCAACCATAGAGCTCATTCGACAGTCTCACCAGCACTTACAAAATGAAACAAGGGTTTTTATAATATAGCCTTCTTTCCAAACTCTTTAGTAGAACTAAATCAAAAACTTGATTGTACAGGTTTGTAGATATTGATGTGATAAGCTTTATTGTCAATAGGAATTTTTCAAAGTTGGAACCAGAATAAACCTATCTTGATTGAGATATGAGTTTTAATATGATAATGTCATATTTTTGAAATACAGTCCAAAATAGTTGTTTCTTTAAAATGTGAATAACTGAGTCAGGAAGCGTTCACTCTAGCTCAAATATTAAAGAAATTTTAGTAATTATATGGTCTGTCTATGAAGAAAATATTAGCTTGAAATTTCACTTATTTAGGTTCTCAGTGATCCTTTGTTCATAGTTCAATCACTATCCAATGATGATAGTCTCAAACAATAGAAGCAGTTTAATAGTTAGATATGTATTCATGTGATATTTACTTGAGTTATACCATATTATCTTTTGGCAATTACAAGATAAATGATATCTGATTAATATGACATACTCATAATTAATAACTAATAGAGTAAAATGATTCAATATTTTACTGAAAAATAAATATAACAAATGAGCATATTTATATTTACATTAAGACGGAATATTGTTTTGGCATAAGATTTAATTTCATTAGGTTTAGCTAATTTACTAACAATTAATAGAACCATAAGATCTTCTAATGCTATCATATCATAACGAATAAGTAATAATTGAAAATCT